CAATTGACTCACCGAACCAAAGTGCGATCTGAGCCATCAAAACATTCACAATGTTTCATTCAATTACGATTTCTGATGGCTGTTTTTCAATTTCCATTTTCCATTTCAAGTTGAAGCGCAATTGCAGTCCGAAGTTGCATGATCAAGACATGGCCGGGTCGTTACGTAAATTCCGATATTGCCATGTACGAGTATGTGTTTAGCATTTCCAAAAGGTAAATAAATAAAAAATAAAAACAAAGCGCCCAGACGGACGACGGACGTCGTCGACGAGGACGGAAGGCGAATGAATGTTTCGTTCCGTTTTCGAAACGCGTCAAATGACAATGGCAGAATTTATTATCGTTCAGCGGCTCCAGCTGACTCAGCCTGAAAGGGGTTACAAATCTACTTACAGTTTGGTACTATAGACTGGGTACTTTGTAAACTGCAGTGCTTATTTCCTCATATTGGCAGCGAGTGTCAAAAATGCCAGGCGTTAAGCGGCTTTGCAACAATGGTTGCTGCTGCTGCTGCTGCCTAATCCACAGACAATTAACCCAAATTGCAACTCGGCACGTGGGCACTCTTGCAGCAACTGCAGGACACTGAAAAAATCATACTTCTCCTCTTTAAATGGCCTAGCTCTAAAGCTAATAGTATTTCTTAAAGTGCACAAGATATCATTGCACAAGACAGCATCGTCAGCTGGCAACAGGCAACTGGCATTTGAAAGTCTTTGACTTGCTGCAGTTACCTTAAAATAAAAATTGCCTCGGCCCAAGGTAATGGGCAATTAGCTGCAGCCAACCTTCTGGGCCAAGTCTGGGCCAACTCAAACAAATGAGGCAACGGAAAAAGACACAAAAAAAAAAAAAACACCACACCAGAAAACAAACAAACCCTGGAGTGCGACTGACATGGATATGGCAATTTGCTGTCCCACTGGTCACTCGCAGATACTTGCAGATACAGATACAGATACGTTCCGGCAGATAGCCTTTAATTGGGTTTAACTGGCTGTCAATGGTGGTAGTTGTTGTCGTAACTCGCAAAAGGGGGTGCCCCGGGTGGTGCATGATCATAAAGTCAATGACTGATCAAAGTGGGTTTTTTTGTTAAACTTTAGTCTTAAACTTAAGACGAAAACATTCCCCATTTAATAAATGGTTTGGGTAATTGTTGGGTTTTCTCAATGAGGGTTGCTTGACCCCGTTTTCACTGGGTATTGGCGGGTATTGAGTAAGGTCTCGCCCCTTATCGGAAGAAAGAGTTCCCGCTGAATTCCACGCTGAAACATGATATGTTTGCTTGGCAATCTTTTGGAACCAGTTCTGGGTTATCGGGTCTCTTCTCTTCTGTGAGTGTTCCAAGTGAAAGTGGAAACTTGTTTGTCATTCGCTCGAAAACGAAGATTAACCGTCAAGCTTTGGCTTTGTCTCTGGCTCTGCAAAGCCAACTCCCCTTCCAGGCCAGACCAAAAGTATTTCGTTCCGATTATTATGCTGACTAAATAATGTTGATAGCCCCTTATCTGGTACCTACGGTGCCCTGGCAGAAAAATAACACAAAAGTGGGCAAAACCGCACCCGAAAATCAACATGACAAAAAAAAAACAACACACAACTGCAGCCTGGGAATACCACTGGACTCCGATTACTAGTCATATGTGTGCCGTGTGTTTTCTTTCTTTCGGAATATAATTGTATTCTCCTGATAAGCACGCTACCAAGATAAGGGCTAGACCGCACCAGAGGGGCGGTGCAAGGGGTGTAGTAGCTCAGCCGGCTTGAGGGTCAGACAGCGAACGATCGAATGATGGCACGCGGACTCGTGTATCTGTCAGATACACACAGGAGTGGCGCATGCGCAAAATTTGTCACTTGCCCCACGACAGCCTCATTATGTTTATATGAGGCAAACGTGTCGGGCTTCCTGTCCTGCCCCTCCTGCCTCTCCCCGTACCCCTTACCCATCTCGTGATATTTTGAAATGCGTGAACGCGTGCCGGAAACATGAGCGGCATGCGAAATCCGTCAGATAATCGTAAATATTCTCCGTTTCGCCTTCGGTGGCTAAATGAGTTTAAATGAGTTTCGATTTTTGGCAGACGATCGATCGATCGATCGATCGATGGAGGTGATTTTGCAAAGCGAATATGTTGGCCAAAAAGTGTCGGAAGTGGCCTAATTATGGCAGCAAGATGTCTGATAAACAAGTGATTTAAAGTAAGGAAAGTAAGCTTTAAATATTTAAATTTTTAAATTTTTAAACCGAAATTCCCCCCTCCTAAGACCACCTCCCTTACCACCCCTGCTGTAAGCCTGAACTAGATGTGCGAGTGCTTCATCAAGTTTTACTGTGTCCGTCATAAACACTGCATAAAGATGATGGCATTAAGTCCTAAACCCGGCTAAAATCCCCGGCGAAGTGTAAAAATCCCAGCATGAGCTCAGCTCGAAACAGCAAGCAGTCAAGAAAAAATTGGCCAAAAGGGGCGGTTGGGCAGGGGGGAAGCGCTTTCGTCATCGCATTGCAGCGTCATAAACAACAAAGATACATATTTCTCTTAAGTCAAAGTTAATTGCTCTTAAATCAAAGTGAACGACACGATCGGCAACCGCCGAGCCAAAAAGAAAGGGGCCGAAAAGGTGATGGGGCCGGGGGAGTGCGGGGATGCTGATCGGCTAAGCAGACGACAGGTAAAACAACAACAAGAGAGCATTATATAAAGCAAGTTGTGCGGCAACTGCAGCTACCTGCGGAAAAAACTCAAAGATACAGCGATATCACTTGTATCTTGAGTTACGTAAATCGCCGATTTGAGTGAGTTACTTTGCTGTATCTGCTTCCCCCGCAGGTATCCCCCCGGTATCTGTGGGGGAGAGTTGCGATTTTTTTTTTTGCAGCAATTGTTAGGGTTTTGAGTGAAAGAGAACGCGACGGCGCAGTGGGCAGGAGCGGAGCAGTGCACCGCGGGTGCACAGATTGAGATACATAAACAAAACGGCAAAGCATGCGAAAAGCCAGCACAAAGCAGAGAAACAAAAACAAACCTAGCTGAGAAACCGGAAAATTCGCCAATGCCAGCGGGCGAGAGCGAGGGCGCAGGCGCTGCGGGCGCCGCAAAGTGGGAGGGGGAGGTGGTAGAGCCAGCGAGCGGGCCAACAGAGAGTGGCTAACAGAGAGCGCGAGAGAGTGCCCCAAACGCCGGCGACCGAACGAGCCGCAAACGAGGCCGGCCGAATGCGAAAAAGCCGAGTCGCAACAAAGCGAACCGAAGCCCCGGCAGCCGCGGCGAGCGCAGCACAGAATCATTCTTGAAAACGCGCGCGAACCTTTCGCACCACCAGACCGCAGCCTGAGATACAAATTCGCAAATTCGCCATCCGCAAGTCGCAAGCTAAAAACGACAAAAAAAACAAAAAAAAAACTACCAATAACTCCAAAAAGCCCTGAGAGCCGAAAAGTGCAAGTGAAGTTCGGATATTGAAGCGAGTGGAGTGCCGGTGGTAAGCTCGTGAAGTGGGAGTGGGAAAAGTGCGAGTGAAAAGGAAGTTGAGGTGTGTGTGGATTCGAAAGTGGATTCTGAAGTAACAGTGAAAAAGTATCTGACAGATACACCAGCCATCCATCCATTCAGCCCAGCCCGGCCCGGCCGACCCATCCCCAGAGCGCGGGAGAGCGAATAAAAACAAATTAGGAACGAGGCCTAGTAGCCCAAATTCGTGCTACCAAAGCCAGCCAAGAAGTTGGCCGACAAAAGATCAAGCGAAAATTTGAATAATTAAAAATAAACACGCGGCGCGTAAGTGTGTATGTGCGTTGTATCCGTCAGATACGCATACGCGTTCGCTGACGCATTTTGTGCCGCTGACTACCGTTATAGCTGCCGCTGCCGCTGCCGCTTCTGGTGCTGCTGCCGGCCGGCTTTTTGTGCCCAATTAACGCACATTCAACAAATTGCCAGTCGCCGCGGACAACAAAAAAATATGTGGCATTAGTACACAGACTCGGCGAATCAAATAGAAATCAAAATACTAATCTTATCGACCATCGCGGCCGTAATAAATCTTGCAATACCCCAACACATAGATACATAGTAGGTAAATTAGCCAAAAAGTACTTGGTGTGTGCACAAGCAAAAATAAATTAAATAAATTAAATACTTTCTTTTCCCATACGTTCGTTTCATTTCTGGCTTTTGAGCTGAGATGCAGTGCAATATTGTTGTTGTTGAGGGGAAAAAAGTTTATAAATAAATGTACAATATACAAATAACTGAATGCAGATGTTTGGCATAATAAGTGTCACAATCAATAGCTGAATCTGCCAGGGCACTAGCAGAGCGTTCTTGAATTCGGATTCGAAGGTGATTGCATAAGGATATCTAAATATCTATATCTCTATCTATATCTATATTGTTTGGCCCCGAGTTCCGTGCTTGGTTGTTACCAAGTGACCTCATTCAAGGTTGCTTAACAAAAGGTATCTGATAGATTGCAGTTTACTTGGTTTCTCAATTAGCGCCCACGCGCCTCAAAAGTTTTTGCATATTCACCTGGTGACTGGATATTGGATGTGTGTAGTGTCTATAAGGAGGGCTTATGGAAATCCCCCACCCTTCATAACCGTGGTCTGTAATTAACCTTGACTCGTTGGCCTGTGAACTATCATTTAATTGGAATTCACTTCTCGGAAACACTATTTTTTATCAAATCTAGTTTTCCAGTGAAATATTCCTACTTATTATTTACAAAAAAAAAAAAAAAACATTTCGCTTGCGTGACAGATGCAACATTGTTGTAGATGCAGATACCAAAAAATAAAAAAAAGAATGTGTATTTGGCAAAAGCCAATTAACCGATTGAGAATCACTTTAAAGTACCTCTACTGGGTCATTAATTTTTTAATGGGATGCTCAATAAAAGCTGATGACTCAGAATAATAATAAACTACAACCCAGCGACGATAAGTGAATTCTCATTTATTTTCAATTTTTTTTCTTTTTTTCCATTCAGGAACCGATTGAGCTGAAGAAGCGCCTGGAGGAAGTGCGTCTGCTGGAATCGCGACGCTCCGCCCGGCTAGCAGATCAGGATCGCGACACGGACTTCGCCAGACTCGCCGACATGAGTGGCGACCGCCGCAGAACCACCACACACAGTATTGAGGTGCCATCGCCGCTGACGCCGCAGCACAAGTGAGTAGATACCATATAGAATATTAGATAGTAGTCTATCCTACCCACATAATACTGCCCTCAAACTATGGCCGGTTTTCACTCGTTTATTTTGATATTCGATATTCGCTTCTTGTTCGCATAAATATGCAACGATTGGTGAGACTGTCTGCGGAGACTGGGCCATATCAATAATTTATAAGTGGCGACAAATTAGCGGAACCGGCCAGCAAGTCACGGACATGGCTCGATCCATGTTTTAATATCAATAAAAAAATAGTGTCTCCATCCAGTCGGGCTGTCTTGCCGCCATGCCGGTTGTCATTTTGCCGGCTGCCCCCTTGCCACGCCCAGCTATTTAGCATAGACGCCGCTGTAACTGCACTTACATAAAGAGTTCTCACCACCCCGTCCAGACCTCCGGCCACTCTTCGCCTTCACAGTGCTCCGCCGGGACGACAACTGATTGCAAAATAATTCAAATTTTCAATTACTGCCCGCTCAGACGTCGCGACGACTACGTCGAACTTAAAGACGGCGGCGACAAAAAAAAAACACAAAAAAATACAAAATAAGAAAGACTAACATTTGATTACGATGGCGGGTACTCGGAAAGGGTATCTCTTTCAGACTAATACCCTTTATCAGAGGAGAGGAAATGCTTTCTAACTAAAAAATCTTAGAGATAATATTTTTAGGAAGATATAAGAGTCTGAGATATTAAGATTTCATTTAGTATCTATGGAATGGTGTAGAGCATTCCATTTCCGACTTGCCGGCTTGCACTTTGTGGCGATGATTGTCACTTCCCCCTCCACACAGCCCCCCCGATGGTTGCGTATTCCATTTCAATTTCAATTGATAAGCTTCGCGCGCCGCAGTCGAAACTATTAGTCAAGTGTGCAAAAAGGCAGAGGAGGCAGGGGCAGAGGCAACACTGAATGCCGGCCACGTTCTCAATTGATAATAAAAATAATAACAATAATAATCAAAATAAAGAAGGAAAAAAAGTAGGAGGAACTGGGAGCACAGAACAGGCTGCAAAATATGGCGCGTCATGTCCAGCCAGCCGGTTGGGCGGCAAAAGGGGGCGGTGGAAGAAAGTACCACCAGAGAGGGGTGGCCATGGTGATAGAGGGGAAGGAGACTGGGGGCTAGGGGCACTTCAATTGCGTCGCAGCCCAAAGTCGAAACTTAAAACAGCTGGAAAAACTAAAACTAAACCCCGGCAGCGATCTAGCTACACAGAGAGAAAAAGAGTAACTTTCAAAGTGTATTTTGAATAAATTTTTACAAGAGGGGTTTTTTTTTTATTATTACCTCAAACTAAATATTTAATATTAGGTCCAAGCTAGTCCATTTTCTTGTCAAGTACATCTCTGATGCTGCAGTTGATGAAAAAATGGTATTGCCACAAGAGGCAAAGTCAACACAGAACTCGTTCCACGCCGCACAGCTTTTCGTTCTTTTTCAGCTTTTTTGTGTCGTTGTCTGTAATAAAATTCAAATAAAATTCAATTGAGTTCAGCGCGAGTCGCTGCGCCAGTTTAATTTAATTAATTACAATGCCAGAGAGTTGGCGGGAGCAAGAGGCGATGCCAGCTCTGTGGCATGTGGCAAGCTGGCCACCCTAAAACCCAAAACTAAAACTAACTCGGAAACCGAATTTTGCCGGCTTTTTATCTGTGTTGCTGCCCCCATCAGCACTATCAACTATTCACTATCCCACTATCCACTTTTTTTTATTATTTTTTATTTTTGTTTGTTTTTTTTTTCATTTGATTCGAATGCGAGTACGAATGCGGAAGTATTTTTTCAACACAGATACGCAAATAAGCTGTGAGCACGCTGGTGAGCGTGCGTATCTGTATCTGTAGCTTTAGCTCTGTCTCTGTATCTGTATCTGTATCTGTATCTGAGAGTCTATCGTCGCCATATTCTTTATGTGGCTTGATATGCCGCACACACATACACACGTGTAATGATAACAACTCGCTCACCTTGCACGAAAACCGCCTGCCATCCCCCCCACCACGTCCCTCGACCCCACCCTTGCCACGCGCTTCTCGCGTAATGCGACGTAATATCAACGGGCCTCCATAGGCCCCGAAAACCCCCCACCTGGAGCCTTGCCTTGCTAATCTAAAATGTGCTTTTCTCGCTTACGTGCTCGCCCGCCTCTGGAATCGGAATTTTGTTTTTAATGCGTTTCTTTATAATATTATTAATTTACATAGTTCACCCACTGGTGGTGTTTTCCTCTATTTGTTTTTGTAAACAACATTATTATTTTTTCCCGGCAGGGCCTTAATCAGCCGGGTAAACAAATCATCAAATGAATAGTATTCCGAAAAGGGCTCTTAGATATCTTTCAACTCCTTTGAACTTTGTCCAAACTCAATGTCTGCATCTTTCAGATCCAAAAGTACCTTTTGACTTTAAGCCACTTTGTGACATTGCAACTCTGAATGACAGCCACAGTATGCCGGGGAGGGAGATGGGAGGGGGAAAAAAACAGATAAAAAGAGTAAAAAATGGAAGCAAATTAAATGCGGAAAAAAAGTGGTAATAAATATAATAAGCGCGTAATTATCGCGTAAATGTCAATTTACGCGGCGAATGCGTTGCGTCAGTGCTAATTTTTAACGCTCGACTGATCCCCAGACCCTCTCGCAGCCAGCCCCCCCCCCTTCTAGTGGCAGTAATCAGCCCCCCTCGGGTCGCTCGTCTAATGAAAGCGTGTAAGCGTCAATTGGCCAGGTTACTCAGTTATAGTCGTTGTTGTTGTCGTTGCTGCAGTCGTTGCTGCTGCTGCTGGCTGTTGTAATTGCAATGATTAACAACAGCAACCGCCTCTGGGGGAGCAACGACTGCCTCCTCCACCCCCTTGTTTATTGCAAAAACAAACAATATGGGAAAATTGCAGTAAGCAAAGAAAAGCAGAATAGCAACAATAAAAAAATAAAAACAAAATCATATTCTAAAAAAACAATAACAAGCTGAGAATAATAATTATTTAAGAAGAATTTTTGAGGAAAACTGCAACTAGTATAGCGCTCTGGGGTTTTAAATAATGTATTAGTCATGGCTTTGAAGGCTATGGCTTATTTCCGTCAAGAAATTAGCCAAGACAACAACCACTCTTTGGACAGAAGAGGGGCAGAGTGGGTGGTTGCATGGCGGAACAAAAACAGAATTCAAATCCAAGTTGGCTGGCAGCGGCAATTAGCCGAGACTTGAAAAATATTTGCCAGTTGTTTAATTTTTTTGTTTAGCTTCTGCTGCTGCCAAGACTATGTACAAATATTATTATGAGCGACTGTTTGTCTTGCCCTCAAAAACAGCTCGCAAAAAATAAAAAAAAAGAAAACGAAAAAAAAAGAATAATACTTAATTTCAGTACAATAAAAAGTCAAGTCGAGCGCAAAAGTGGGTCAAAATTATTATTGAAGCAGAACAAAAACAAAGCCAGCAGCAAGGCAACGATAATGGCAATGCAACAACAACTTGAGTAGAGAGGGAGGAGTGGTGGGGTCTATGGTGGGGCAAGAACGATGGGGGAGAGAGCACCAACCAACAACAACAACAACAACAAAAATTTATAATAATTTTCTAAGCGACGGCCCCTCGACGGCAAATTATTGAAATGCATTCGCATTTCGCATTCACCCGGTCAGAAGTGGAGAGACACTGGGCCCAAACCCTCGACCCTTCCATCCCAACTCTATTCCCAGATCGCGAATGACTACCACCCCCCACCTATATCCATTCCCCATGCACCACTCCAACGTTCCAATGAACGTAAACACAATTTCCCAATGTTCTGCACGAATAGTTTGTTTGATCGTAAAATTTTATTTCTGCATTCAAATCGCAGCGCTAAACAAAAATGCAAAAAAAAAAAAAACAGAAAAAAAGAGCAAAATGGTATTGCAGTTCTGTTTGGGTCTGACATTACCTTTTGGGTTGTTTTGTTTTTCACCGCTTATGAAAAGTGGCCAAGAAGTTTCGTGCCAAGAAGGAATCCGAATCGATGCGGTTTAGCGGAAGGGTCATGAATTCCCCACAAAAAGTACTAGTGGGTTACCAACATTGCTAACTAAAGTGTTGACTGAAAGACACTCTTATGGTCAGTCATCTGGGTCTCTTTCCAATTAGTAGGCCAAATAGTGTTAATACATTGGCATATATAGTCCTCTTTTAATTTAATTCATTTGCCAGCCTTTTTCTTTTGTTTTTAATTTAAAATGCATTAATACTTCGAATTGAATGAAATACTGAACCGCTAGAAAGATATAGTGATCAGGAGGTGGTGGTGGCCCCAAAGCGAATGTGTTGACGTCGATGGAAGGAAGGAGCTGTTGAAAAACACATCAAGCTATAGAGGGAAACATAGGGGCCATTGCACAGAATGTACCATTATCGTCAGCTAGTAAATTTTTAGTGGCTTTCCTCGGCTACTGTGTCCACGTTCGAAATGGGCACACACTAGCGTTGGCAAGAAAATAAATTTTTTTTTGGAGGCATTTCGGGGGGAAATATGTAGAATCGAAAGATCCCCTACACACAATAGTAGTGTCTGAGTGGCAACATGAGCAACAGTTGCACATAAATTAGAGTTTGGCTTCGTTTGGCGATTCCTGGCCATTCGTTCAGTGTGCCGATTTTCGAATCGCAGGCAATAAAATTTAACGTGCACACTTATGACCAGGCCGTTTGGCCAAAAAGGAGGCCAGGACGGACCTGGACGCAAGGGGGTGTGTATGGTAGATGGAAGTACTGCCTGAATGCAGCAGACTAAGACCCAGAGTGTTGCACGCAACATTTGCGGCCGAGCTGCAACCGAAAAAACGCAAATTTCGAAGAACAAGAAATGTGCGCAAAAATTAGATTGAATTGTTTCTCTATGTTTTCCGTTTCTGTGGGCAATTGCAGGCCAGCTAGCCAGCCAGTCAGCCAGCCAGCTAGCTGCATAATGACCGGGCCAGGTCTAGGCTGGCAATTTGATTGAGTTGTTTCCA